ACCAACATGTCAAATTTTTTATCATTTCAGAGTGAAGGCAGATCAGCTCTGTCCTTGCCTGACTGCTCCTCTTCACAGCTGGCTTTGGAGCAGTCCTCCTTCTTGCAAACAACTCTTCCCCATTATAAATCTTCCCCATGGTCTTGAGTGTTCTTTTTTTTCTTTCTTGCCCAGACAGTTCTAATACATGTAAAGCATCAGAACAGCAGTATTTGCAGCCTTTTTCTATGCATGGCAGAATGTAATTCAAGTTACTTAAGGATTGCTTGTAAAACCTGAAATGGTCAGGCTTCAGGCTGGGATGTCAGTGTAAAGGGATGTTACTTACAGTGGTCCATGGGGAAGAACAGAACGTTTGCTCCCCAGATTTCAACTTGGGTTGATGGATAAAAGGTTTAATTTACCTTAAATACAGGCAAAAAATATGTGGACTGTAAGAATTCTGTTGGGTTTGACTGTTTTGATACTCTAGTGCTTATGAACCAGCCAAAGTAGAAAAGAGTTGTTTGGTTAAGAGTTTACCCTGGAAGAATCCCTGGAACGGTTTTTCTTAAACCTGTTGCGCATAACAATGCAATTCTGGGAGTGAGTCTTTAAGCAGTTTTCTGATCTGAGAAATCCAAGGTCAAGAGGAGGTGGAGGTGCCCCATGGCAGAATAGGCACACCCTGAAGGGACTGGAGCCCTTGGAGGGCCCATGCCAGAGGAGGTACTGCCTCAAAAGCACTGCAGCTATGGAGGAGCAATGTCAGAGCACAGGAAGAGAGCGAGAAGGAAGGCACAGGACAGAGAAACTGCTTTGTACCTGGAACCGCTCCCCCAAGCTTCGTGCCACCTTTTGCCTGAGAGAAGGGACTGAGTGTAACCTGCAGCAATAACAAGGGGGCAGAGAGGAGTCTGCAGTGAAATTGTGCCTGAGAAAGTGGGAGGGAAGGTGTTTTAAGGTTTGTCAACTTGTTTCCCAAACCCTGAATCAGTAATTAAATATTTATGCTAATTGGCAATAAATGAAGTTAACTTTCCTAAGTTGAGTCTGTTCAACAGTACTTGGTAAGTGATTTAACTGTCCGTATTTTGACCCACAAGTTTTCTTGCTCTTTTTCCTCCTGTTTTCTCTCCTGTCCTGCTTGGGGAAGGAGAAGCAGCTGGGAAGGTGCTTGGCTGCCAGCCTAGGTCCAGGTGCTCACAGGAGCTCAACAGCTCCCAGGCACCTGATGTTGCTGATCTGATGGCCCATGACAAGCAGGGGACTTGGAGCAACAGGTCTGGCTTGTGGCAGGGCACTTCTGTAGGAAGCTGCAAGTTTGCGTCTGCTCACATGCTCCAGCTAAACGCCTTCTCTGTCTGGAGTTTAAGCACCTTTTCTGTTACCCCATTCCAACACCTGTTTTTTAGCATGTGAGCAGCAGCCTTCAAATCCAGACATTCTGCTATACACAAATGAATTTATGGGACACTTTGAAAATACCATTTTTACAATACAGCACCATTGTATTGCTTTAGTCTCTCCCTTTTGACATGATCTGTGTACGCCAAAAGATGATTCAGTTCAAAAGACATTTTCATTATTAGGCCTGTGCGTCTCTTTCCTCGTCTTACAAAAAACAAACAGCAAATGAAGCAAAAATGGCCACATTTCTTAACAGCAGCTCCGGGCTCAGGCTACACAGTGTTTTTCTTCCGCTGTTTATCTTCCAGAAATCCTGATGTGGAGGGATGTGAAGGAGGGAAGAATCTGACAGCTGCCCTGAGGATTTGCCATGAGTTGGAGCCAGGCATCTTCCCTGCTTACTAGCCATACAGCTGCCCTGGTTTGCTGGGTGGCGGGCAAGCAAGTCTCCTCGTTGTCAATCAGGGGTCCTGAACTGAATTCCAGGGCTGTTCACCCCAAATGGCTCCAATTCCAACGACCTCCCAGTATAGCCAGCATAACTTTCTGTGTTGCTATTAATGTCCTGCCTACTGTTTGGGATAAAATTCACTTCTTTTCTGGGCCTACACAAGATCCAAAGCTCTTGACTACAACAGTAAGGGTAATTTGGACTATGAGGACTAGCACAAGCCCATTGCCTTTAGGAGCGTTTTTACTCATGAATAGTTTCAGCTATGCCTTTTCACAAGCAACTTCATAATTAGGTCCCCTATGAATAATTTACCAATTATATTTCTGCTTACAGTCACTGGACAAATGATTGCAGAATTGAAGCATATGCTGCTTTATACTTTGGTCTGTCTTAGTTGCTTTATAATATTAAGAAATTTATCTGCAATTTCATTTTGAATTAGTATGGTATTTTTGACAAATGCCGTACAGAGTCAGCTAAGCATGAAATGGGAATTTACACACCTATTAAATACTTAACCTGTCAGTGGTAGCTTAAAAATACATCTCCTATATAGTATGTTCTTACAGAACATAGTTAAATGTAACTGGAACAGGTGCAAAAACTCTGCATCAAAAATAACAGAAAAATGACAGGTTTACATGATACTTTTAAATCAAACAAAAGAGCAAGATGGTAAAATGCCATGAAATGGCTTATTTAGATTATTAGGTCTTTTTTTTTGTCAATTCGTATGTTCTTAAGATTTTTCTGTGTATTTGTTCCAGTTAGGTGAGCACAGATCCAATTCCAAAATCCCATTTTATTCCATTACTTTTCTTCAACTTCTATTATGACACAGTTTGCAATAACAGAGTGTGTAGGGTTTTCTTTATCGTTTAGTGAAGCGCGGTTAGTACCAAAAGCCCCACTGTAAGTATTTCCAGCCAAGCAACTGCCCTTCTCCAGAGAGTTTCTAACCTAAAAAGAGGCTGCGAATGAGTATCAGAGGAGCTGGCGAGTACTCCCAGGAAAAGCTCATAAATGAGACCTTCGTGTGGCACTACCTACACCCACTGTGGAACTGGGGATGTCACCTGAGGAAGTTGGGTACTTGTCTGCTACTGTAATGTGAACATAAGCTGAGGGTACTGAGCCCACTGTGGTTTTAGCTGTGGCCTTTTGGGAACAGCTTGCACCCCTTAAGGAGCAGGTGACTAAGGCATGGCTGCTCTCTACGTGCGCTTGCCTCTCACAGGAGGAAGCTCCGAAGCTACCCAGCACCTTGCACCGTCGAGATGTTGGTTTTCACTTCAGACCAGAAAGCCGGTCTCGCCTGCGTGTGGGATGCTGCCTGAAGCAGGAGGGAATGGAATTCCTGCATGCAGTTCAATGGTAGGGGTGAGCCCTTCTCAAAAGTCTGCACGCTGTGCCAGCTCTGGAGCATGCAGCTGGCATCGCTGAGGAGTGAACTGCGAGGTGTGCCCTATCCCAGCGGGCTACGGGGATGAGAAGGGACACGTTCCTGAGACAGGTGGGGACAGGGATGTGCCCCAAGAGGGCTCTGGACCCCTTCCCCCGCGAAAGAGCAGGAGAGTTAGCTGGCCACCGTGCAAGCACAGCAGATCAGCGAGCTCTGGCTGGTTTTGTCAGAACGAAGTTGCACAGTCTGATGTCTTTACACGTGAGCAGACTTACCCTCTGACTATTCTATTTCCCTCTGGCTGGTAAGAGTGGAATGTCTGCCTTTGCTGCTCTTCGAGGCTCTGTATCCAGCGTTTGAACTGGCTGATCAGCCTGTTGTACTCGTGATGGCTTCTGAGGGAGTTTTCTTTGAATTAGGACTCTTGGACTTGGATCTCTGTTTCCTTGAAAATCCTTTTGCTGGAGGCACCTCTCTTAGTGAACACAAATTAAAATGAAAAGTGCTGGAAAAACCATTTTATTCCATTCTAGTAAAACATAGCTTATTTAAGTGGTAAAAGGAGCATTTGTGGCCCTTCTGCACATGATGAATTCTCTGCTTGCAATCTGTGTTTTCAGTAGTTTCACCATGATTCAAATATGCGTTTAATAGTTCTGGTTTTATAGCTGAATGAAGGAGGTATAATGTGTTTTAACAACTTCAAAAGGTGATTAGTGCTCTAACTTAGAAACATTTTAACAATCAATACTTTAAAAAAAAAACAAAAAGCATCTCTAGAGCTACAATTCCATAAGGATCTTAAAGGTGACAGTTTGTTTTTTGGTGGTGTATTTACAAAAAAAGGGCAAAAAATTAACAAAACTTATTAGCTTCAAGTTCAGACAATTGTCCTAACACTTCTTATATTCATCAGTCAGATAAATTCACCCATTTTATCACCATGCTACTATTTCTTTTCAATTAATATTAGAAACTGCTTTGTTTCTGCAGCTACTTGGATTGGAGCTTAATAATTTAACTGCTCTTAGAAATTAATTGTGAATATAAATACAGCTTTTTAAGGATTCATTATCTCAGCTTATTTTATTTTCTTACATAATCTGCTGTTAAACAGATTTGCAACTTTTTGTTGCTTATGAAAGCCCGATTAACAGTTCTTTCACAGCTTGCTTCAGTGTTGCCATGGTAAAAGTCTTTGACCTTCACTAGTTTTATTATGAGTTTTTTTCATGAGTACATTTTCCCCTTCTCTCAGAAATAGCTTGTGCAAGTCTCTATAGCTTGGGAAATTCAGCTCTAGGGCTTTAAGACATTTGTACGTTTGCACGTCTGTACCTGTAAGGATAAATACTGTACGCTGTATAAATGCACATGCTCTTCCTGTTGCAAATGCCATTTCTAACGGGAAATCCATTGTCTGGTGCAACAGGCATGGTTTCCCTGGTATTCCCAATGTGACTGAACCCTCCAGGCTCGCCTTGTTACCTGTGTGTTGTGGCAGCGGACCCCAATGTGACAGTGTAGGTTTTTTTAATTGTTTACACTAGATTTTATTACCTGTAGATGTATGTACATGGGTGGATGAAGCTCAACAGGTCCTTCGTCTTTCAGTCTTATATATCCACTCAAACAAAAAGACCAGTGCCGCACACTTACCAAGCTATTCAAATGTTAAGCACTGTTTAAACCTTTAAAGCATGTTCTTCATCCTTGCACAAGTTTCGCTCTAGCTGTTCATTTTTGTTTTGCTTGTTAGCCGTGCTTCAGGCATACCTGGCATCTACTGATTTTTTTCCTCTGCTCTTGTCCTTCTTTAAGAGTTCCTGACAGGGGGGCTGATGCAAACTGCAATTCGGGCATCACGGTTGTTAGCCAGAAACTGTATTCGTTAGCAAAAAATTGACATGTTCCCCGCTGACCCTGGCATTCAATGAATGGTGCTGATCTGAAGTCTTCTAGGCAACTTCCAGGTGACATAAGGGACTGTCCACCACCCTGATCACCAGATCCAGTGTGCTGCAAAGAACAATGGAAGAACTTGATAACTGTGCAGGAAAAATAGGTAAATTACATTAATCTGTCTTCTTCTGAATTTATTTGCTTTTAACTGTACTATTTTTGGTGATCTTGGGTTGGAGTAAGCTTCCTTTGCTGGAGAAAATCATAATTTGCTCTGTAGTGAGTTAATCTCAAAAGCCTAGAGCAAACTTATTTATTTTTCTGGTATTTATCAAAGAAGAAAAGAGTCATCCAGGTCGATTCTAAATGATGGTATTATCTAAACTGCTGCAAATGTGACTAGAAGATGGCATTAAAAAGACCTGGACCTCTAATTCTGGAAAGTGTGTCTTGTACATGAAAATTCCATTGTCTATTAAAGACAAGCAAGCAAAATCTTTGCAATTTTAACAAATGTGTAGCTTAAGGCTATGACTTTAGTATATGTAGCTATAGCCAGGTTCTGCAATTTGGAACTAACCCTCGTCTTGTTTCTTTTTGTGAATTTTCCTTTTTAATGTTTGCTACACATTGGATAGCTTCCTCTTCAGAGCTAACTGTCTTGGAATGTTTTGAACAGAAAAGCTGTATGAAAGAAACTTACATGTATGATCATGTGCCCAGGCTCTTACCATCAAAAAAGAATATCCTATCCAAAGGCTCCTCCAGTTCATTGGGCAGGGAGGAATTGACTGATCTTGGCTGTGAACTGCTACTGCTTGGGCTGGGGCCTCACATACAGCACATCTGCTTATGTAGGGCTGTATTTCTTCTTCAGAGAGCGGCACCATTGGTAAAGGAGCAGCACTTGACAACCAGTAAGACTTATCATTTCGACTGGCATAGTAACAAACTTGGTTGATATTGCAGTAAGCAAAGGGCATGGTATTAAACACAGGAAGACAAGATCCTGCCAGGCCTGAAAACAACAACAAATGATGAAAATTACTCCACTTCTTTCTAGGTAAGTTGAAAATGGTATTCTGGCCAGTGTTGCCACAAAACTATGTATCTTAACCGGAGTTAAGATCTTAAACCTCCCAGGCTCTTAACCAAAATGGCTATTTATTTTGAAAACAGAAAATTTTTACCAGTAAGTATCTTCCTTTGACCAGTAATATTTAATTGTGTCACAATCTAGTATTTAAACATGGTGTAGTTTGTCACCATGGTAAACAGTTATGATAACAAATTTCTTAGTCGGTCGATGCTGAAAAATCAATTAGGCAAGAGGTGGCAGTTGGTTTAAAAGGAGATTAGCTGTTTACAAACTCATTAGGAGCAGTGAGAAACCAAATGCCAATGCTGATAAATAGAAAATTTTTGTACAGTATGACAAGCCATTGCTACCAGTGCATTAAGCTGAAACCTCAGCAGCTGTTCTGTTGCCTTCCCAAAAGGTTTCATAGACTTTCTAAGTGAAGTAAAAGGATCAAGGGATTTTTGCAGATCCAATCCTACAAAGTTTTCATCAGGCAGACATCAGTGGGAGTTCAGACGTGACTAGTGCATTCTTCAGCATACTGCAGAGGTGAAGTTCTTCCAGAACTGAATTTAGAGCAGTGTCATGATGACCTATTTAGTGAAGAATAATAATCACTGCCTATATGTTCTGCCTTGAACTTTGTGTGACGCGTTATTTCTGTAATGCCCCCAACCCTAATGCCTTCTTTAAAGATGTGACACTTCTATACAGAAGCCAGATTTGTTTATTGCTGATAATATTCCATTCCAGTACTAACAAAGGATCTGGAGTAGCCTGAGTAAGCAAAATGCCTGCAAAAAGAACACACTTGTCATAGGAAACAAGGACTTTATTTTCTTTTAAATCTTATTCTCACTGCTGTTATAAGGCATTCTGCTACCAGCTGGCGCTCTTGGAGAATGCCAAACACACAATAGCAAAAATATTTCAAAACAACACTGCTCTACTAAAAATATCTTGTTTTATTGCGCTTTTAAATACTTCTTTTTGTCCATCTTATGAGGTCCTTGATCTTTCCTCCTAGGAGATTTCTCTGCCTCTTCTATAATAAGTCAACAAGAATTTAGGAAATTTCTTCTGTGCAAGTTGCTGCCAATCAGCTTCTCAGGCTGCAAGTCAGGTGGCTTATTTAGACAGCTAATTTTAGTGAGAATTGTAGAAGACCTAGAAGAAGTAACCCCAGACACCAAAAGAAGCTGCCATTGGGAGAAGTTTGGCTCTGTCTTTTCCAAAAAAGCATTAGCTTCTGACTCAAAGGCACACAATTCTGCTGTACACGATGCATAATTTTACTTCTAAAGCTTATTTATACTATCCAACTCTAACCACCAAACAACCAGTTCTTTCCTAAGCTATCTCTATAGTAAAAAGGAGCAGATCCTCCAGGGAGTTATTTCAGAGTGGCCAAATGAGATTCTTGATCTAGGAAAATCTCTCCAGTGAGTTCGAAGACAGCCCAAAATGGCTAGCCAAGATGAGTGAAATAAATGACTCATCTCTCCAACTTCTGTTCAAAATTACTTGGAGGTAGTGATACTTTTTCCATTCAACTGCATAGCAGCAGAAAGCCATTTTAAGGGGGTCACATAATGAACTTTGTCATGCTGCCCTATTATAATCCGTGTAAATCAGTTTTGAGTGTGTAGAAAATAAGCAATTGATGATTCTATAGTGTGCTCAGTCTGACTTGTCTTTCAGTATATAGATCACACCACATTAGACCTCAACTGGAGAACAATGATGTGCTACAGTACATACCAAGATCTTGATTGTGAGCTTTCTCTTGTCCTTCCAGGTACAGCAGGCTATAGCCAGTCCATAATTTTGGCATCCCCTGTGGACAGAGTGGTTCTCTGTCTGACTGACTGTGAAGCACAAGCAAGAATCCACTTGCAGATCTAATATGGGGGCCTGGTGGTCCTGGGACACCAGTGTGGCCAGGTGGACCTTATACATAGGAGAAAAGGTAAAAGATGTTTACTTGTATGAACACAGAGCTAGTGTGAACTTTTATCTTTTGCTATATGTAAGTGTTCAGTAAGGGGTTCCTGACTGAATATAATACAACTTCATAAATTGTCACGGGCAATAAATACACGAGACTCATGTTATCCTTCTTATGGGAGAGAAATGAACTAGATTGCCACTGAATGCTTGAGAGTTGGCTTTTCTGTTGTGCCTCTGTCCTGTGCTGTATGGGTTAAGAAATGAACTGATGTGGGCAATGATTTCCTAGACTTACTCACTAGGATGACTTGCCTGGACTGCATTTGAGTCCCTGCAGTAACAGTTGACGCCCTTTCCTCACATGTGTATTAAACCATTCATTTCTTAGACAGCAGTCACAGTTAAAATATACTTCTAGTTACTCACAGACAGTTGCACCATTAGCCCTGACTCAGAAATGCGTATCTATTGATAGATGGTGTTTCAGCATGTGTGGTTAATTGCCTTTCTGGTTAATAATGGATGCAGAGAGAAATTTTTTTCTGATATGTGTTATGAAAACATTCACAAATGTCACTATCAGTGCTTGAACTGAGGCGGGGAAAGAAGTGTTATGGTATCTCAGGCTAGAGGTGGATGTATCCATGTGAATTGGGGGAGTAGAGAGAAAACTTAGTCTATATGTCATATCTCACACATCTCTCGCCCAGAAGTCATGTTCCGTTCTTACCTTGTGGCCCAGCATATCCCTGCTCTCCTCTATTCCCTTGGTCGCCTGGTGGTCCAGGTGCCCCAGGTAAGCCATCTTGACCTGGCAGGCCATGTGACCCTTCTTCACCTTTTCTCCCTAGGTAAATACAAAGGACGTGCTTTCCCTCTGCATGGCTGCAGTGAAAGGTTATACGGTGTCCAAACACACACAGCGTGCAAAGGGCCAGCTGGCAGAACTGACACCACCAAGCAACGGCACTTCAGGACAGAGGTGCGAAAGTGCTTTCTGCTGGGAATTCTCTACAACTTGTTTGCTTTGTGACCACAATGATAGCTCAGAGGTAAGACTTCAGTAACAGCAACTGCTGATAAGATTTTGTCATCTCTACAGAACTTGTGTGATTCGCAGTTGAAATCTAAGCACTAACAAACATTATCATGATAAGCCTCTTGCAGAATTTCCATGAGTATCTGTACCATGTAATGAGTTATAACTCATCCTATGGCAGGCCTTCATCTTTTAGGACCCAATTCAGCAAAGCCTTTAAACATGTATGGAACTTCCTGTGAACTAATGCATGTGTTAGAGTGCTTACAGAACAGGGAGGGACTGCAGAACTGGGCTACATCCAGTGGGGAAAGGTAAAGACATTTTTAGCCTCCTGATGGCCTCAGCTTTTTATGTTTCTAATATGTACATGCGTTTTTATACATTAGCAAATAACAAGGTGTGGCCACGGCAGTAAAAGATAGATCTCGTATGCAGGGCACAGGCAGTGATGGTCCTGTTCACCAGCTGCTTTAAACATAACCTGAACTGAACGATATTACACTTGTCAGGTACTCAGCAGTGTTCTTTCTCTTTTGGTAAAACAGAGTTTTGAGGTGAGTATGTTTCTTTAGCACCACAGTTGTTTCTCATTAAAGATGTATGTTTCTTTCCTTCCAAATTTTGCCATTTAACCTGCAGACTGAGTAATTCAAGGATGTCTCACAACACTTAAAATTTTCCCATGTTACTTTTTACTAGATTCATTAAGAAAATCTAAATCAGTCAAAACAATTTAACAGCTTTTCAATGTTGGTTGCATAGTTATTTTGCCAAAGCTCAAGTACACTGAAGTTTTAGTAATACACACTGCTTTTGCTAGTAAAACCTCCAGTTTGCCTTCCAAGCTGGGTGAAAATTGGAATTGTGCTATCTTAATGAAAGGAAAAGCATTACTGTTTCTTTCATAACACCAGTGTGAGTATGTATCATTGTATCATCTGCTTTTACAGAAACTGCTTTAGTGATGTATATAACGGAAACGTAGCAAATCAACCCCAGAAACACCTTTTAGTTGACAGATCAATTAAGATACATAAAAAAACTAGATAGTTCACTGAAAATTGCCTTGTGTTTACTTTTGTGAGGGGAGTGACTATTGCAGGGATTATCCTGGGAGAAAATCATGGATTTTCTCTCTGAAGGCGTGGGATGCCCAGTGCAGCCACCGCAACAAACTTTGGTTTCCCAAGTAGGAAATATCTAAAACCACATGAGGGACTCCACTATCTAAACTGAAGACACTACACAGACATGCTATGTGGTATTTCTGTGAAGATGGCCACTCTGTTGGAATCACCAGTACCAGCATCACCCTTGTTTTCTTCGTCTCTATCAAAAGAATGTTTCAGTCTTTCATCACTTCTTTTTAAGATCTCTTTGGTCAGTTTTCCTTTGTGATAACTTTTTTCATGTTCTAACAGATAAAAAGCGCTATCATAGCTGCCTCTCTGACTTTAGTGTCCTTTTAGGACTTTGGTTAGCAGAGCTTTGTGATTGATTATTGCTAAATTTTGAAGCTTGTATATTTTTAACATCCTCCAAACATAACCTGTCTTAACCACAGAGGTGGTTTAAAGCATTGCTTTTTCATTTGTTGGTAAAAAGGAAACATACCATTTGAAGAACTTTTTGTTTGTGTGTTTGCTTTCTTTTTTCAAGAGTGCCTGATGCTTTTGCCCTCCCTGGCCTAGGAAAAGAGCAGGCAGGCTGAAGCAGCCTGGTTCAGCTACATTGATCCATCATCCTCAGCATTAACCAGCCCACTACATGTTTCTGGACACTGTTAATAAGTATTTAAGGGGAAGAGACAGGGTGAAACATAGAGAAGTAACACTGACACTCAGACTCTTTTCAGTTTGTTGTCCAAATGGCTAAAACAGACATCCAAGCTTTCAAAACACGAGCTTACCTTGGGGTCCAGGGTGGCCTGTTTGCCCTGGTAATCCTACAGAGCCATCATCTCCTCTTTGCCCTGCTTCCCCAGGAGGCCCTGGGATCGTAGGGCATGAATCATCTATTTTTCCTGGTTCACCAGGGTCACCTGGAATGCGTGATAGGAAAGTAAATTAGAAGATTGGTTAATAGCTCCCATGTGAAAAATCACCATAACTGTTAGCTGGTTTTGGTATTTTTAAATCTTGAATTATTGAGTCTCATTGCTTTTAATTTTACTCAGTCGTTTAGCACAGCATTTAACAGCATGTGTTAGCAAATGCATGCTATCTGACATGTTTCAAATTTTAGTGTACAGCTTCTGTCTTAATGTGCCCCAAACTGATTTGAGTTATAGCCTAAAGCCTACCCAACATCGGCACAAATACCTTAGCACATGTGAAGATTTGCAGTACTTTGCCTATTCTGTGGCTGCAAAACCATCAATAAGTCAGCCAAAAAAGATAACCCACAATATCCATATAAAATAATTATAATAATAAAAAAGTAAAGAATGGCCATATGTTAGTATTGAAAGTTACTGGGAGCTACTGGCTATTTGCATTTTGGAAGAAAATCAGAATCAGATCCATTTAGTCAGATTGAGGTCCGTGTTTGTAGTAATCCAGTGTTAGGATTCAAGCCTTTGCTAAGTTTTTGGTTAGAAAGCATCTTGTGTGACAACCAAAAACCAAACTGATAATTCGAAACAAGTGTGCTTTACAAGTCTAATTGACATCATAGCATGAGACTTCTCAATGTAGCATTATCTTGATAATCTGCTTGGAAATGTGAGCTATTTACGAGAAAAGTCTGAGAAATATGTTGTTGTAGCAGTATCTACTATCCCTAGCAGCTAAGCCAAGAATACCTTCTAGTCTAGTAAGAGTGGAAAGTATCTATACAGTAGGAAGCCCACATGAAAAGAATAATAATCAATAGTCATGAACTTACCTATGAAACCTGAAGGATTTGAAAAATGGAAGGCAGATTGCGGACATTGTGGTGCAGGTGAAACAAGTTTCAGGCATGTAAATTAGAGTAAAGAATGAAATGAGAACTGAAATCACATGAGGTGACATTAGAAACAAATACATAGTTCAGAAATTTTTACATAACTCAAACAAGAAATCAGTTAAGCTGGGTTTTTTATTCTGAGATTGTTTAAATTGGCTGTATGCACGCAAACATTAGTAAGATTATATATGAACAGAAGGATCATGGTAACAATTGAGCGACAATGAGCAATAGGTTCGTAAGTACCTGTGGGACCTCTGGGACCAGGTTTTCCTTGAAAACCATGGTCTCCTGGTTGTCCTATAGCACCAGGTGGACCCTGTGGGCCATGGGTTCCCATAGGACCTGGAAAGAAAACAGTTGTGCAGTTAGTTACACATGGTTGCATTCCAAGAAGGTGACCACATAAATAAGATGAAGTCTGGCTGCTTGAGTAACAAAAAATGCTTGGGACAGCTCAACTCTGTTGTCTCCCAGAAAGAAATGCACATTTCCCTCTTCTCTACCTGGACTTGAACTAAATTAAAATTTATGACTTTTCTTTCTGTAGAGATTGGAAGGTTTTGTTGTAGATAGGACTTCTCTACAGTGTGTAGAAGAAGCAGAGTATCTAGATTGCTGTTCTCAAACTAAAGAATCTGTTGAAAGCCCAAAGCTATTGATATGGGGCAGATGTGAGAGACTGTTACTCAAACACATCTGCATCTTCCATAGCTTCTCAAGACTCCTGCAGAGAGGTCAAGGTTTGCTTTAGCTGGCAAACTCTTAAGTTTTACTGCCTCATTCTCAGGTTGGTAGGGAAGTATTCCAACAAGTTGTTGGAAGCAGTACATGTTACTTGGGCTTTACTCTGACCTTCTACCCCAGCCCTATCTTATCTGTAAGTAACAGGGTGGAGCTATGAAATGTCCAGCCTGCCCCTTCTGTCTGGCTCAGTCTCCAGCAGCAATCCCCTGTGCATAAGGCTCAGTTGCATAGGGTTGGGCATAAATGTACACGCTAGCTGGAAACATCTCAGATCATACCCTTTGGTCCTCCTCTTCCTTGGTTCCCTGGAAGACCTCTGGCTCCTTGTTGCCCTCGCTGCCCAGGATTACCTGGTGCCCCTTGAAAACCGGTATCACCTGGATCTCCTCGCACAAAGATAGTCTCTCCAGGAGGACCAGGATTCCCAGGCTGACCTATGGTGAAAGAACTTAATTCTTAATAAATGCACAAAGCATAAACTTCTAAAAATAGTCATGTTCCATTGTTTTTTTTTGCTTTTGGGTTTTTTTGCTTTTGGGTTTTTCTCTGGGATGCAGGACAGCCCTTGCATGTTTTTGGAAATATTAGCATTAGACTTTGTCCAAGGCATTGTAAGGAAGACAATAATAAGAATAGCTCCCCAAACTATGTAGATTCTGTGCAAGCAAAAGGCAGCAAGTTAATTGAGACCCTGTTTCACTGTGTTTATTATAGCGTTGCTTACCCTTCCAATCTCCATCCCCTATTGCCCAACGGGAAGCAAGTCTTCATACTGGGTAAGGAAGGGTTTGGATAATACTTAATGTACGGGGTCAGAACTTGAAAGAGCTCCATGTGAGGTCCAGACTCTATAGGAATTGACTGGATCCCTTGGCAACCCCTGCTTGTAACAGAAGGAAGGCCTACATAAATGCTTCCAAGAGAGTTCCAGCTTTAGCTTTCCCAGGGCCAGAATTCAATTGGAAAGCTTTTTGTGGGTTTTAGCAACAACGGCAGGCTTCTGGACAATGTGTTTTATCCTTCTTGCTAGGACGAGAGGCCAGTAATCTTATTTCTGTTTGTTTCTGTGGGAATTGAGATACCTTGTAGCAGCAGGACTTGTACAGAATTACCGTTCAGGGCAGAAAACTGAATCTGGAGATCTGTATTTTATCCTTGCTCTGGTGATCTATCCAGTGTTCACTTCCCTGTGTACTCACTGAGGTATTGATCGGTTTCTTTGTTCCCTGTTCACTTTCATACATTGTTCCACAGACAGCAACCCAGTGACTCCTAGTAGCCTCAGAGGCTTTTTACATGATCAAACTTGGTATTTTTGGGTTTAATACCTCTGATGCCATCTAAACCAGGTGGTCCTTGATCACCTGGAGGACCAGGAGAAGCACTATCAGGAGATCTTCCCATAGGTCCAGGGGGTCCAACAGGTCCTCTTCTACCTAAGGGATCACATTTTACCAAAAAAGAAAGAAAAAAAAAATCTGACTTTTTTTTAAGATTACAGAAATAAGTTACAAACTAAAGAATGCTGGCACGTGACGTCATGGAGATAATGTATGCTCTCACTTGTATGTTGAACATAGTGGGTTAGGGTACTGAAGGTTAGTTAGGTTAGGGAAGACATCTTGTAGAAGTGAAAATAATTCTTATCTCTTTAAAATTTTTAAATCTTTCCATAAAATCTACTTAACTAAAGAATGCATCATCACACATTGGCATTTTGCCACAAATAGCTGCCTTCTCCTGAATTCTAACGATGGGAGAAATGATAAAAATGTAAGATGAGTGGGGACTATGAAATCATTCTGCCTGGGACAGGATAAGTATTCACAGATTGTTCCTAGCAAAAGCAAGTTCAGCTGTTTCCTAAAAAACTCAGTCAACAAGATGAACTTACTAGCCTTAAATGTATTTTTTCCTAATTTGTAATCTGGATTTTTGCAAAATAAGACATTAGTGCCCTCAGATGTGACAGGCGGGAACAGTTGCAGGTTACCATCTTCTGCAAAATGCCTTTGAATAGTCACACCTTGTTAGCACATGTTGTACTCTGTTGCCTTCTCTTTTGTACAAACCCCCCCCCAAATTTAGTTTCTTCAGCCTTGTTTTTGACCCTTTCCTTCCATTTACTCTCTAGTGAGTTCTCCCTAATTTGTCAAAGCTGGACAAAGTATACCACGGGAGGCCTTGCCCATCCTATGTCAAGCAGTGTTAACACATCTTAGAATGAAACTTTTTCTCTTTTTTCCTCAACAGCATCATTCTGTTGACTTCCCCAGTTCATGAACTAGTAACTGAATTGAGAAAAATGACTGTCTTCATCTTGGAATAATTCACCTCACCAGAATTCACCTCTGCTATTTTTCTTGTGTGTTATGTGACACTGGCAAGGTTTGGTAGAGTAAAGGTAATCTCACTTCTAATCACAGAACTGCTGAGGCTTGAATGGGCCTCTGGAGACTTCCTAGTCAAACCCTCTCCTCAAAGCAGGGTCAGCTAGAGCAGGTTGCCCAGGACTCTGTCCAGCTGGGTTTTGAGTATCTCCAAGGACAGACACTTCATAACTTCTCTGGGAAACCTGTTCTCGTATTCAATTACCCTCACAGGAAAACCAAACCTTTTCCTTATGTTTAAGTAGAATTTCCTGTATGTCAGTTTATGCCCATTGCGTCTTGTTCTGTCACTGGATACCACTATGAAGAATCTGTCTCCATGTCCTTCCCATCAGGTACTTATACACATCAACAAAATCGCCCCTGAGCCTCCTCTTCTGGTGGCTAAGAACTCTCACTCGCTCAGCTTTTCCTCATATGACAGCTGCTCTAATCTCTTAACCTTCTTAGTGGCCCTTCCTCAAACACTTGTTTTTTCCTATTTCTATTCAATTTCTTTATCATCAAGGCTTTTAAATAATCATAGCAATCTTGTCATACAGTTCCATCTAGCATTTACATCAGAATAGCTGGTAGATTTACTATATTTCTGTGGCTACCAGATCTCCTGCACTCTTTTTCTTCAGGAATTCCTTCCCAAGAGGCAGCTCCACCTAGCAGTTCCCTGAGTCTGTCCAAGTGCATAATTTTCCGTTCTCATTCTTTCCTCCCCTGTAACATAGTAAATAAGAAATACTGGGGTCTCTGTATCTACTCAAGAGATGTCAGTATGTTATTGCAACAGAAATGTTTTTAGGGAGATAATCTTCTGGGTATATATTAATGTTCATACCAACCAGGGGAAGAGCCTGTATGAGCTTCACTTCAACTCTGCAGGGCACCACTGCGGAGAAAACCCTTTCTTACCTGGGAATCCTGGGAATCCTCTTTCTCCAGGGGGGCCTGGAATAGAAATACCAGGCCATCCAGGTTCACCTCTGTCTCCTTTTGGTCCAAGTTCTCCTGAGTATCCTTGGGGCCCTGTTTCACTTTGACCTTTATAGGAAAACAATTACGTACATAAAGCTTACAGTGAGTACAAATACAGATGTGGAGAATAGAAATACCAGCTGCAGATGTTCCTCCTTGCAAGGGTTACCTAGTGCTATTTTTCTCGTTCTGTTTTGGAAGCTGGATAAGAGTTTTGTTGAATTTGGCCCTAATTCACCTCTTTCAAAGAAAGTAATCTCTGCTTTAATGCTCTTCTTCAGTTGTTATTTTATATGGTGTCATTATTTTCTGTAACTTGAAATGTAAACTGATTGCATGGTCCTAAATTTAATTTTCTACCAGCATGATGGATAGTGATGGATAGTGAGCACTGTTTATTTGATACTGCTTCAAAAGCACCTTTTGAAAGTTGCAAATAGATGAGCATGAGTGAAATCCAGGTTCCTCTCAAGTTTGTGGCACAACTCCCATGGACTTTATTTGGGCTGGGATTTCATAAATCTCCTTGTAATTTGTTAGTTTTATCTTTTACATATAAAAACCCCGGAGACTTGGCTCTCCTTTGAATCATCTGCACTGAACACTTTTATTTTATAAACAGCTTTGAAAGGTTCCAACAAAACTATGTGAGTAGTGGAAGTTGTAAAGTTTTCCCCACAAATAACTGCAGGTGTGCCATTAGGCATACTTTAGACTCTGTTTGAAAGTTTAGCCTGAGCCTTAATGGTATCTTCTGAGCAAGACAAATACCGAAATAACGTGCATCATTCCTTGCACACTCAGTTATTTAAGAGAAGGTTTTCTGTTCCACATAGCTATTTCCCTTCTTTACCTGCAGCTCCTGCAGAACCTTTTTGACCTTTTAGTCCATCCAAACCATCCAGTCCGGGCAGTCCAGGAAGACCTGGAGAGGTATTACAGGCATGACTTTGTGCCACAATAATCCTTTAAAGTCACAATTAAAAATTATGCCTTTTTTTTTTCTGACAACACATTCTGGATCAAGACAGGGTATTTGCTGAATTTGATTCTTACCAGCAACTGAAGATGAGATCGCATTCATAATACAGTTTCACGTCAAAGCAATTGGAAAACATACCTTTTAATCCTTCGGGTATTTGTATACTGCACCTAGCAGCAGGAAGTCCAGTATGGGCTAATTTCCTGAACAGTGAACCTCATGTCTGTGGCTAGGCTACTACTGCCACATGTGATTAACTTGTCCAAAGTTAGCTGTGTTATCACTACATAACCAGCTGACTGGGATGCAGCCGCTACCTAAAATAACTGTAAAGCGGCAACTTCTTTACAGCTTCTGTTCCAAATGTAAGTGCAATTTAATCTAGCTGCACTAGAAAGGAGCTAAATTTTCACCTGGCTGCTTTTCCCTGGTCCTGCAGATTTCACACAGAAAACTATGCTTTTTGCATCACACTATTACAAAAATTCTTTAAACTGAACAGCACAAAATCTTTGAAGACAACAAATCTGTAATTGAGACCTATGCTGACATATGATAGTACAGAGCAGCTTTGTCACTAGTAGTCAGTAGATGACTAGATCGCAGGCTGAGTGTTTGTGATAGTCAGATATAACTTTTGCTTTATACTCTGGGCTTTTTTGCAAATTTCTAGAACACAGTAAGTAAAAACATAGATGACACTTTTTTATCAGTTATTTAAAGCTGAATTAATCTGAGATTGTGTTTGTTGTTTGCAGCAGCAGGTAAAAATATCTCCATGTCATTAGCACTTCGTAGTTTCCTAAGTTGTATAGATGAAGTATCAATTGTGAAGACGTACACCGATTAAATGAGATGGCGCCTGTCACCTGGGGATAGGAACAGATTTGGCAAAACTGATGGGTCATTTGGTAACAGGTTTCAAAGAGGTTTCAGACAGAGGAATAGACTTGGGATGCTTCTTGCTCCAGAGAGGGACAGATTAGTGTGGACACTGATCATAAAGTTGAACAAAACTGTCAGTGCCTATTCTTGTCTCTTCCATCTCTCCTGCTTATCTCTGCCTAATAGATAATTTCCTTTCCTACCAATTCCTCTCCCTGCCATGCAGGATTCCCAGTTCAGTTGCAGTGGTTTTTAGTTGGTTTTTTTGTTTTTCACAAGTCTGAAGTTTCTTTCTGTCTGCCCCCTTATCCCTGTCTAGCTACTTCCTGGCATAGAAGATGTAGGTTCTCTGTTTCAGTTCCTGTGCTTGGTCCCAGCATGTTCTGCAGCATGCAAAGCTGCTGTATATCCAAACCATGAATAACAGGAGAATTTTTTGCTCTACTTAAGCACATATGAATGGGTTTGGGTTTTTTTTAAAGTTTATAAGCTGGTCAAATTTGGCAGGGACAAATTGCTGTAGGAACAGCCACACAAATGCCCTTCATTCACCTGCCAAATTTAAAGGTCTCTAGTTCAACTATGGGTCATTTGAGAAAGGAAAAATAAAAGGGCACTACATTTCTCCAACAGGCACACCAAAAATAATAATCCCATAGCTTTGTTCTCGGAAAGTGTTGAATTATTTTACTTGAAATTTAACAAAGGAATGAAAAGAAAGGTGTGGGGGGGAAATCCAGCCTGTAGCAAACACTGCTCTGGAAAAAATTCAAATCCAGAAGATTGTTTGAAAACCTCAAGACATTGATAATATACCCTGTATGAAATCCCCTTTATAGTATGGGATATTGATAATCCAACCTGTAACATCTTCTATGCCTTTAATTAACTGCTCTTTAACTTTTCATGACATTGTAAGTTTTAGTCTTGCTTTCTGTAGCCTGCTTGTGCTTTGGGCATGTTTCCATTTTCAAATTTATCTAAGAGTTGCATGCCAGTTTGGGGAATTTAACAGAGATATTTTAAAAAGATTATGAACTTCTAACTATTTTTGACACCCAGGCCACCATTTAAAACCTTTTTGATCTTTAGCTTATTCAGTCAAGATTGATGCCTTGGTTTACTTGCTTTCCAGGGAATTTCTGACACATTTGGCAACAATCCATTATAATATCAGCACTTGTAACTCTACATTTTTGGATTGCTGTAGTCCCATATTTCTAGATACAGCTGAATTGGCTGACCTATGTATGAACCACTGTTTCTGTATTTTACAGCCCAATTCAGCTTCTACTCACACAAGTAATTCTGCTGATGTTCTTAATATTAGTTGCTTCATCAAGGATTACTCACACAAGTAAGGCTTGCCAGACTAAGCCCTTAACTAGTAAAACTATCTCTGTAATAAAATGTGATCATGCTTTGGTAGATGCTGTTTAACTAATTTTTTTTAATCTAAAAGTTCTTCAGGCAAAGGCATGTAATTTAAATGAGAAGCAATTAGCTAAGTACACAGCTTTGTTAGTCTGTGAACAGCCAATTAACCATTTCACTTCTAATGTTAGCAACACTACTGAAAATAGCATTAAGATCTGTATTCTCCAATTGAACTGGAATGCAAATTCCATTCAGTTGTCAGTACTGGATATAATTGCAAAGGCGTTAACCATATTTTCAACTATGCCAGCAGTGTATAGAATCCTAAGGCTTAACAGGCAACTTAGTCTCTAGTGAACTGCCATTTGGAACCGAACTTTTGCCTCTGCAGCATGTGGGTTAATTTGTTACGTTTCCTGTGCAAGACGTGGGATAACTTCTGCACAAAACAGAAAATAAGTGTGTTACAACTTATGACAAGAAGGAAAGAGTCCATCTGCTACTAAGAAGTTTTCAGCAGAAGAATGCTTTTTTTTTTTGTGACCCCTCTCAATTCAGACATCCCTGTCAGTGCAGATCTCTGCCTTTGTTACAGCAAAGCTTGTTTGCAACACAGAAATGTTCTCTTGCAGATTATGCACCAGCAAGGAATCTGTCATGACAGTTTAAATCAGCACCACTTATTTACTACAAGCAATCATAAAAGGTTTCAATTTTTCATTTAAGCTTTCAGTAGTTTATAAGAAACCTTCTGAATTTTTCCTTAGTCTGAATTTGAAAAAGCGAATCTATTGTCCTCTCTAACCATTTATCAAAGCTGCAAGTGTTACTTTACTGTGCTTTCTGTGCGTGGGTCACTAATACTATTTTCCCTGTCCAGGAAGTGGTTATGAAGCATGCTGTAACAGAGAGAGGATATAAAGTACGTAGTTGATTACCTTTCTTTATGGAGTATTAATGTGACTTATAATTTCAGTATATTTTTAGTATAATAAAAGTTAGTAATATTCTCCAAAAAACAACTGTATAGATGAACAGCTCTTCAATCTAAATGTAACAATCATTGTGGAAAGTGTAAACTAGGATTTGGAGGAAACATTTCTATATTTAATCTACCAAAACCCAGTTGTTGGAGAAAACAAAACAACAACAGAACCAACAACAACAGAACCAACAACAAAAATAAACTCATGTTATCTTATCACAATTCATTAAAACAAATTTGTAAGACAAAACTGTCCACAGCAGTCTGCTGGTTTTGTAGAGAAACAGTGGCACTCCATGGTGAAAAGGCAGAACACAGCATAATTGAAATGAAACATCTGAATTGCTGTGAACTCCTTTTTCTTTCCTTAACTTCTGCTGTCAGTTACATCAGCTGAGCCAGAATCTGTTTCTACCTTCTCCCTTACTCCTTTTAGATTGTAGCCCAATTTTCTGAGGTAGCATTTGTGTTACTTTCCAAAGGTGATGGGAACTGGCTTAATTCTTCTAGTAGTTTCAAAGAATATGGAATCAAAATCATGCTCACAGTTAGGCCTTTTCCATTTTCACTACTAAAAGGGTATTTATGTCTGGCACTGTCACCCTACTGGTAGAACTGCTCCACATACTGTTTACCTTTTCTGCCTTGGGATCCAGCTAATCCTTGCAATCCTGGAGGTCCCAAAATTCCACGTTTCCCTTTTTCTCCACGTTCTCCTGGCAATCCCTGAGGACCTGTAGCTCCTGAGAGTGGGGGAAAAAAAAATCTGTGAATATGCAAATCTATTAAACTGTTGATTTTTTTTTTTTCTTAATGCTATGCAGCACACTGTGTTAATCAGATGTCCCTGAAAGTGTATGGGAATGTTTGAAGAATTGATGGATTTTGCTCTTTGAGACTCTGAGCAGACCATTGCTGCTTTCTGTAGGTACTGAAATAGCTTTCAATACATGCCTCCGTATGATCTCTGATTTCTCTGTCCTCCTCCACAGAGGTAGGTGCCTCCTCAGCTGCATTTTCCTGTTCCATATCTCTTTTGAGCTGTTACATGGAACTAGATTTTAAACGTTGGCATTACCTGGAAATCCAGGTATTCCTGGGTATCCAGGGTCACCCTTGGATCCTGGTCTTCCAGGTTGCCCTTGGATACCTGGTGAACCCTTGTCTCCTGGGAATCCACAGGGTCCTTAAAGGAAAAAAAGAAAATAATCTAGCATTTATTTGTTTAAAGTTGCCCATTCTTCTTCTCATTATAAGTTTAAAAAATATAAAAGTTCAGTAAGGGGTTTCTTGAGTAGAAAAAAAAATTATCTGAATACTTCAGATCCTTGCATCAATTCATTAGCAATGTATTATAGTGATCTCTCTAGTGATATCTGAAAAAGCAGAAATGACTAGCAAGATATGGCCAAGCCAGGTTTTATTCTGGTAAGTATTGGTATGTTCACCAGTGCTGTACTAGACAACATTAGTAGGCTCTACCTCCTATGTTCATGCTAGCCATGTTGCACATTGTGATGCCTCTCCAGTTCCTGGGTTTGTAACTATAGAAAATACGACTCGATATGCATAGGAAGCAGAGCTCCCTCTTCGCTAACAAAATGTAAAGAAACTAAGTTCCTAAATTCCATTTTTTCCTTCCATCAGACGAGGTACCTGGTAGTCCTGGATCTCCGGGAGGCCCTTTTCGACCACGTGTACCAAGCAGAGGAGTTGAGTCACCTCTCTTGCCTGTTGAGGTACAATGACTTTAATTTCATACAAGTATCCCTTTCATCCACAAAACCAAAGCTGGACAAATTTGTAAGATCAGATAATTTACTCATAGACATTAACAGCTATAAAAGGGACTGAGAGAACACAGAATGAAAAATGCTTTGGCACATGCAAATTATCTGCCAGCTCAGCTTGTCTTGAAGTACTAACTTAGTTCGTGTTTAGTGTGACTCCTGTCAGTACACTATACTGAAAAACAAAACAAAACACCACCAAAAATTATGGGTGCTTTCCCAATACTGACAGCATATATTGAAAATGAAAGATACTGCATAAATTCCCTGTAACACTTCATTAAACAAAGAGACCTCCTTACGTATGTTTGTGAGGATGTGCAAAATCAATACAGCCTGAGTCTATTTACTCAGTAAAGACCTTTCAGGGACTAGCTGGTGACTTTAAGCCAGCACACCTTCTTCTTTGTCTGGGCTGAAATTCCCGTTTGTCACAGAATCAAGGATTCCGAGCAATTTTGCTTTATAGTCTGTACCAATGTCTGACCACTCCCACCTATTGATGCTGTATCAAGCTTCATTGTCTGATTTTGCTGTAAAGAGTTAAGAGGAAATATCAAGTTCAAGCATTGCTAGAAATCCCCTGCCATAGCAATTCTCGCCTTTACAGGCAATTTCCTGCTTTAGTTTAAAGGATAGCTTTTCCAGTAAATTTGTTTTCAATATATTTCATAGAAGTTCTCTTTATATTGAGTATTGTTCTTCACCTTTTTTTGGTGGGAATATATTCCCTGGCTGGGAAGGTCTTGAATTTTTGAAAAAATGGAAAATTAACTGGGAAAAGAATTTCTCCTGTTCCCTTAATGCTTTTTTTTCCCCCCAGGCATTGATTTAATTTCATTATTTATTTATAATGAAATTCTGCTCCAAGGAAATTTGCAATATGATGGATGACACCATTTTGTATTTCTTTAAACACTTTTTAAAACCTAAACATTATAGATAAATTTTTCAGAGTAGTGTCTACCTGTGCAAAAAACAATGTGCAAAACTTCATTTTTTCAACTGAATAATTTTGCAAGCATGGGTATGAACTCTGCCTGATTTGTTACACTACACTTCCAGAAGTTCCAATAACTCAGAAATCATAGCCTAGAAAAAAACTACTGGAAAATAAGTGATATAAAAGAAATTACAAATTATGTTCAAATATTTTAAAAATTCTACATGTCTGTATAATACCACAATACAATAAAAGATTGAATTTTCTCTTATTTGATATGAAAAATTTTACAGATCTATAAGAGTGGATTTTTACATGTGTTTGATGGGATTTTTAAACTATATGAAATTTGACACAAATTTATCTTTTAAATTAGTAAGACCTACTTTAAAAGGAGCAAACTGTTAAAGAATATACTGAAATGCAAATTTCGTCTTCGGGTAAGTCAGACTTGTTTCTGATGACATTCATGTTTTAAGTATTTTCACTTCTGTCCTGTTTTCCCTTTTCTAGTGAGTACTTGCCATCTACCAGAGCACATACATCCTAACAATATTGGTCTTTTCAAAAGCACGTCTATGTAAATTTATTACCTTTAGATCCTTTTGGGCCAGTCAGTCCTGGATTTCCAGGGATTCCTGGTAAGCCAGTGTCACCCTGTTTTTTTAAAAAACAAAATAAAAATGTTTGTCATATGATATGTGTAGCAG